TATCGACCTATTGGTAACCATACTCCGGTAGCTTGCAAAGAGCAACAGCCGGCCGTTGACTCCCAAGACAGCAGATATCAAGAAACAGTAATCCTAGGTAGAAACACCTAGTTTATCCGATCCATACCCGCAGCCAAGTAAATGCTTTAGTCTGGTATAAAAGACTTTAAACAAATAGAGAAAGACAGAGAATCCATTTGGGTGTCTTGCTGACGGAAGCCGGCAGCTTCGATGGAAGGCGACTTTCCCTGGGACAGTCGTCCATGGAGTCTTCTGCCACCAGGACCACCCACCATATCCAACAGTCCTTGAGGAGAACACAATTGCAGCTCGAAATAATCTTGTGTCGAACCAGCGCCGCTATCGTCATCAAAGAACGTGGAGAAGATCAACAATAAGGACGACATCCAACATACTGCGATGTTTGTGGACGCAGTATCCGTGATCTCCATGCTCCTGAAATTTGTTCAGCTGTAGGAACCATCCGTTCAGAGCGTAGCGACCAATAGCATACGTCGGAGAAAGTAGTGATGCAATATAAATGTGTTAATCGAGCCAACCAAAGCTAAAGTGAACTCATGCATAACCAAGCACCCATATCCTCAAATAATACAATTGGATAACAAGTGAAAATCAAGCATTCAAACATGCATTGAAATATGTTCAAGCCAACCGAATCAATTGACAAAGTGCGAATCATGATAAACAGTTAGAGAGGACGAATCTCTCCACCAGCCGTTGAAGAAGTCGCATGCCTCTGGCATAATATATATATATTTTGTGCTAATTGAATTGGTATACTTAAGAACAGCCGTATTTTGGTGCACGTATATTTATATATATATATCCAATATAATATTTTCCCAAAGCCGAGGATCCGGAGCGTCGAGATCTTATCGCCCAGGATTTAAAGAGGTGGTAAGTTTGTCGGGACACGGTTCCTTTCTTATAAACATACATATATAAATATTCGTGCAGTATCCTACAGTTTTATAGACTACTATAAACTTTTTCAGCGGCGAGTATCAGCCTTGTAGTTATATGACAATTGCAAGAGCCCTCTGAGCGACGTTTGTAGTCGTGAATAGTCAGTATTTTGCTGATGTGTGCACCTTCATAGGTGGTAAATTCAATACTCTCCGCTAACAGAATAATTGTCAATTAAATTAGATTAATCAACAGATGCAGATATATATTACCTAATTTATGCATTTATTAGGTAATATATATATATATTAACAAAGTGGGTGTGCTGACGCGAGGAGTGGAGTAGGTTAAGAACAATGACATAACTTTCGACGGACAACCTTGACAATAGGGGATCGTATTGCGCGGCCCGCGACGATCCATTGGCACACGAATATGTGAAGGGGAGGGAATATGGCCAAAACACAGCCCGATCGTATTACGATCAAGCGACAGCTAAGCTTGTGGGGCAGTGTGGACTGACGACTGACGAACTTTATGACTAATATTATTTTCCAGGCACTTTTAATATTTATTCTCGTTATGTTGGAGAGGAGAGAGGCTTACCAAGATCCCACGACCCGAATACGACGTAGCTTATGCCGGCAAATGGTGCCAGAATATCGGACGCCTCTCCCTCGGCCCAAGTCCCTGTCAGGACTCGGGCACTAATATGCCCACGAAACAACACGGAAGCTATATTTTTGTTTCATATTATTTTCCAACCAATTTTCCGATCGTTCCAATGTCAGCTCTATGATAAAGTCGTCAGATTTTGATAAAATTTAATTCGAAATTCAAATCTAATTAAAAAAGGTTATTTTCAAGCTTAGGAGGTTATATGTAATAAAAACACCAAAGATATAATTAAAAAAAATAATTTTTTTTCAATTATTCCTATGGGAGGTTTAAGATACAGTTGTCCGATCCGGCTGGTTCCGACCTGCAAAAGATGTAAGACTTTTGGGAAAGTTTCGGCCCGATAGCTTTAAAACTGAGAGACTAGTTTGCGTAGAAACGGACGGACAGACGGTATGCTTATCGAGAATATATGTACTTTATGGGGTCGGAAACGTCTTTTTCACTGCGTTGCAAACTTCTGACTGAAATCAATATACCCTCTGCAAGGGTATAAAAACACCGAAGTTATAATTTGTTTCATATTATTTTCCCACCAATTTTCCGATCGTTCCTATGGCAGCTATATCATATAGTCGTCCGATTTTGATAAAAATAAATCTGAATTTCAGAACTAATTAAAAAGACATGGACATGGCTAGAACAACTCGTCTAGTCACTGCGTTGCAAACTTCTGACTGAAATCAATATACCCTCTGCAAGGGTATAACAATGAATAAAACGGAATTACTTTATGCCAAAAGTAATAGGGAACTGTTATCCTTAGTATGGGCTTTTAAAAATCCACCAATAATTGGCAAGGAAATACAAACGGACCAACAATCCGTATCCTTCACGATTTCGGATAAAAATCCAAACGTAGAGCTTTACCCCAAAACTAATATGCAAGCCCGGAACAACAAATTTTGTTGCCGGTGCATTATCACGAATACAAATAAATAATATTTCAAACAGCGATTTAAATGTATCAGAACAGTCAAACTCGGATCAAGACACAAAGGACTTAGCTGAATGTAGTTTTGAAAATGTAATACAAGAAACCCGTAAACCGTTAAGTCAGTTTAAACAACAATTATTATTAACAACGGTGAGGTATACAGTACACGAGTCACTGGAAGTTTTTGACAAGACTTGACACACAATCGAATATGATACAGTGGAGAATTTAGTAACTATATTAAGTGAGTATCTTCCACCTAACATAACCGTTGGAATTCATTGTAGTTTAGAAGATTTATATCACAATCAAGTATCTTTAAAAAATAATTATACTAACAAATAATGAATATTCCTACAAGATGTAGAAAACGCCGAAGATAGAGCTTTAATAATAGAGGAAACACACAATCGAGCTCATAGGGGACCAGACGAAAACTATAAACAAATTAGTAGGTTATATATTGGCCCAATCTATATAAAAAAAAAACTTAAATATATTACCAATTTTAAAATTTGAGCCCCAATACCAACTAAAGAAGGAGAAAACTTACATATTAATATATACTATGCGCAAAGTCTAACTTTTACAGCTTGTATTGACGCGTACTCCAAATTCCTAGTAGTTAAAGAAATTCAAAATAAATTAAACTTTGAAAACAAGGTAATGGAATTACTTTAAAAATTTCCCCAAGCCAAAGTACTTATGACCGATAATAAACCGAGCTTTACCTTGGCCCAATTTAAATCTTTTGCACAAAGGTGTGGATTAACTTAACACTACGCAGGCGCAAGGCACAGTACCTCAAATGGGCAGGTTGAAAGGGAACATTCGACATTAACAGAATTAGCTCGCTGCTTAAAAGAAGAATTTAATCTAAACGATTATTCTGAAATTGTTATATGAGCCGCTCAGGAATATAATCGGAGTATACATTCCACCACGAACCAAAAACCTTTTGACATTCTTTATAATAAAATCAAATTCCTAAAATATTAAAAATCAAAAAAAAAAAATTAAGAGAAAAGGTTAGAAACACATAATGAAAACAAAAAAGAAAAAGAACAACATGTAGGACAAAAAGTTTATGAAAAGAAAAATAGGGAAATATATAAACTTAAACCCAGGTATAAAAAACAAGTAGTTAAGGAGATTAAGCCATATAAAATAATAATCAATAGTAGAAACATAATTATACAAAAAAATAATAATAAGTATTAATAAATTATTTTTTTAATTTACAGAAAGGGCAATCCCTAATACCTCTTTTATCAATCATAATATTGGCCATATCAGAAATAATTGTTTACTCGAACCATGCATTTCTTCCGTTCAAGGACTACAAGGATGTCCTTACCTGTGAATCTAACAGCGATTTATTCCACGTAACTAATTTATGTTTTTATAAAGAAATAATAAATAAAGAATCAAATAAAATTAAAAGGTATTCTAATTAGGTCACGATGAAATTAAATACGACATAAAAGTAATCGAAAAAATTTTGTCTCAGTTAATATTAGCTAGATCAAAAATGATAAATGGTTAGCTGGAACTCCGGATCATGATTACTTCAATAAAGTACAAAAAAATCAATGACTTCATTGAAAATATCAATAAACAATTTATTATCAATTCCAAATTGTTCAAAGATATAGAATCTCTTTCTGAAGATTTAAAAAAAAGTTTCATTGATCAAGATCTACCATTAATAAATTATTATTAAACATTATTAAATTATTATTGACATTTGACCTACAAAATTTTATTAATACTATCGGACTGGCAAAAATTGATGTTTTAAATACAAAAATTGTAAACAATGAAGATATTAAAACACGAACTGTATTCAATCGCTCTGCGTGTAGAACTCTTAATATCTTACATAAAATACCCAACAATAAAAAACAGATGCGTGAAATATTACGCTAAAGCCATTTCCCAAACCGATGGAAAATTATTAATAAGTAATAAAGTCGCAAAATGCGCAAATACATATTGTGAAATGTCTACATTTAAGAAAGCACTTTTTAATAGTTATTAGACAATTGTCCAAGATGGTGCCATTTTAAAATTGTCAAAATCTCCGAATTAAACGATTATTTCTTATAACATTTAATGAAACAACCACAATTAATAACGTTTCAACAGAATTCTTAACTATATAATTATTCTAACCCATTCAAAAATAATGAAGTATCCGATTATCAAATAAATTGGAACTGTCTTTGGATAATATAAACATTTAAAATCCCTTCATTAAAACTAATGATACCAAAATATCTATATTCTTTATATTATTAATTTTAATTATATATTTGTAACCAAAAAACAACGGACAGAACTAGTAAAACCTATTGACGAAGAATTTTTAACAGAATTAAGAGATCGTTTTATAAGGAGGAGAGTTATCCACCCATGAAACTGTTCCACTTATGGAATTAATAAACAATTTTTGAAATTCAATCTTAGCGATATAGCCTTTGTCTTTATTTTAAGATTCTGCCTTAGTCTTTTATATTAAAAGTTATGTTTTTTTCATAATATTCCAAATATTTGTAATTGAATTTGTGTTTAATCCAATAATGATTTTTAAGTGCCTTTTTTTTTTGCACTGCTTCACACATAGGACATCGAAATCAATGGGAATGTGACAAAATATTTATATATGTAAGCTCCGCGTATATTATAGAATTTAAAAAATCTTTGTCGACGACTGAGTGTAAAACTTGCCGAGGTATTACAAATGCACGAGTATCATGAAGAAATGGAAAAAGTTCGTATGCTCAAGATTTGGCCCAAGTCCTCAGCGATTGAATCCATTCATCCACGAAGACAAGGGGAGTTGGTTTGACTCTTGGTTGTTGCGGGTAGGGGGCGAATATCTATCGCTCCTATATCATATGATGCCAAGTTTCCCCTGTTGTTAACGAAACGTTTCTAAGTTGTGCAGAGTTATGTCCAGCATCTGCACCATTCCAATTTTCATGTTGGTCCACGAGCAGTGGTGAGTTTTAACTTGAAACTCAGTACAGTTACGGATTCTGTTTCTAGGACTTATTCGATCGGATTACATGTTCATGTTCACTTGTTCCTTATTTTAATGTGTCAAATCACTAATTTTTCTCCCTTTTTTAGTTGTTCACGTGGTCATTTGCATACTGGCTCTCTTGCTCACTTGTATTGCAGCTTGGCGTTGCCTTGCAATACTTGCACTTGGCCTGTTGGTCTCCTAAATTCTTAGTGGCTCCTAATATCACATCATAGTGAAAATTTGAGAAAAATAAACGAATAGGTGAGCTGGCTTGCGCGATTTGAACAGTGAGCGGATTGTCTGTAGGACCGTATGCAAATCATATTTGAGTCAGTTGTTCAAACTGATCAAAAAAGAGAGACAGAAAAACTGAGCAGTTTACTAAACTCTTTTTTTGTTCACTCACACATGACCAACCCAATAATAGTTTTGATTGGATTGTGTAGCACAGTATATTTGTGGTTGTCCTTAAGCGTAAATATGAATTTGAGCCAGACGTTCTCCGTCTTCACTTTCCGTCTGGGTGAGCATAGGAATCTGTTGAGGAAGGTCTCTGATAGCCCATAAATACAAGTCTAGCGTCTTCTCCGTGCAGTCTGCGATAAACCGCATAAAGGGTCGAATGTCGCCCTTGTTGGCAAATTTAAGGAAATGGTAATATTTGCTACGCTGCTGCTTTGGTATGATAACAGGTGGGTAGCCTGCTCGCATTAATAGGGTATTCATTAGCAAACGTGAGGTACGCCCGTTCCCATCGATGAAGGGATGAATGTGGACCAGCTTGTAGTGTGCGAGGGCTGCATAGCTGGAAAGTATAGAGAATGGTTTCACATTTACATATATGAGTTCTAAAAATTGGAAAATAGCCAAAAAAAAAAGTGAATAGGTAAAAGTATTTAAGAATTAGTCGTTATAGACTCTGATTTAGAAAATAGCGGTTTTTTTAAATGAGCTGACAGCTTGGGTATTGCACTTACTTAACAGGATGTAGTGAACTACTGTGATCCGAATTTACCCAACGCAGGAAGCGCTGCATTAACAGCGAAAGATCCCCCGGGCCAGGCGGTATATGACCCCCCACATACACTTGATTACGCCGAAACTCGCCACCTTCAATTGGGTCCACATGTCCTAAAACTCGACGGTGCAGCTCAAGAATATCTTTTATAGTGATTTCTAATCTGCATAACATTTTAAAACGTATATAAAGCAAATTTTTAAGTTGCATTATTTCTACCACTTACTTTTGCACAAGAATAGCATTAATGTACTTCATAGCCAGATCCATCCCTAAGATCTCGTTGTGCTCGTCGATGGATTTGCCGTCTACAGCCATGCGAGTCTTTAAGATAGACCGCGTCTGGGCCAGTGTCAAAGAGTTACCCTCGATGCCCACTGAGTGGTAGATGTGCTGAAAATAGGCTTCCTTTTTCGCCCGCCGAAGGGCGGCGTTGGACTCGTGTATAGTAGATAGGACATTACTTTTGAAGTCTAAAGACTTTAAACGGCGCCTATCAAGATTTTGCACCACGTCAGCAGTGCGCTGACAATTAGTTAGCGCCTCCAAGTTGGTTGGGTTGATAATCAAGGCCTGATGGTAGTACTGATCCGCCAGAACAATGTTGCGCTGTCTGTGCTCTAGGAACTCGCCGTAACGAAGCAGAACTTCAGGGAATCGGGGAGATAGCGCAAGAGCATGTTCGAATAGACGCACAGCTTTATCATCCTTTCCCTTCCTGTACATTTCCTGGGCCATTTTAAGAGCCCCCATAGCCTCTTTGATATTTGTCTGTTCCTGCTCTGTGTAACTGGTCCCTTCCCTAGTGCTTTTGTCGTAGAACTCCCTGCGTTTATCGTTTAGCTCGTCCACTGAGTAAAATGCTAACTCGTCCCACGTCTGATGGTAGTAAGCGGTGGGCTGGTGGTGAAGCTGTCGCATTTTCCAGTTCAGATTCGAGGAAGTTAAAGCATAAAACGACCAGGCCGCAAGTCCGCAGGAAGTACAGAAGAGTACCAATCGGTAGAGGATGGCTTGCTTTTGTTTTTGCTGCGATTTTAGATCTTCTTGCTGAGCAGAAGATGGACTCGATTGCCCCGCGTCCTTGGTCATGCTCTATTAAACCGTAGGTCTGAACCAAATTTTAAACACTGCACATGTACAATATTACAAGTCTTTAGAAGATATGGTCTTAAACATTTTTTTGTTGATTTTAAATAGATTATAGTTGATTAGACTTTTGGTTGCAACAACACTACCGTATGCACTATACACTGTGATGACTTGACAGCGTGGTCGAGCCAGACTCCTTTGACGATACTAAGTCGTTTTTTCGTCGAAACGAAAATTCGGGAAATTTGTAATTCTCAAATTTGGGTTACAGAATTCAGTGAATTGAGCTTAACAGGTAAGTTTGTTGGCCAACGGCCAACAAATGTGATTGATGGTTTATAGAGAAAGATGTAAACTAGAAATATAACTGTGCGTTGTTTTTATTGGTCTTAAAAATTGGCCACCCCCACAAATAAACAGGGTGACCGTTGTAACCAAACCGATAATGATAGGAACATACATATACCATTTCAGTTTAAAAAAATACCAATTACGTACGATTCATTTAACCTAACACAGAGAATGTTTCCACTTCAGCGACCAAGTTCCGTGTCAGTGCCTTTTTCCATAAAGCCTAGTACTCAGATCGGCTAAGAGTTTTACTAGTCGAAAAATCTTATTCTTTGTAGTGTGACCGAAGTTTTCATAGTTGGTGGTCTTTGGTCTTACTGTCAATCAGTTGGGTTTGTTACCAAACGGAAAACAAATCAATTGGAGAAATTTAAAAAGGAGAAGTCGGCTGGTACACAAAGAAATTAAAATTAAAATTAATGGAATGTTCAGCGAATGTTTTTATTTATGTAAATTAGTAGTTTAAAGCTTCCTTTTCGTCCCACGGATACTTCGCCATCTTTCCCGCCCCACCGCAGTCCAGCTCCGAGTCCGAATAGGCATATTGGACCTTGAGAAAGTGGGAGCCGGATTGGGAACGGGGTTGGTCCGCTGATGCTGCAGGAAATCGCCCATCATCCTGGGAGTGGCTGTCTATAGCTCCTCCAAGTTCCTCAGCTGGCCCTATTTTCCTCCTACCTATAGAAGCCAGCGGGTCCTCCAGCTCCGCTTAAGATGCCAAGTAGCTGGTGTTGGTCGTGTCCGGAGTCCTAATGGAGAGGTCGCCGGAGATCGCATTACTGGTGGTTCTGCTAAAAAGATACTTCTATTAGTCCAACGCAACCAAATTCTTTTGACCAGATCTTACTTTCTTTGCGAGGACACGCCCGGCAGGATGTCCATGTAGAGGGCGAAGTCCCACTCGGCATGAGCCCTTCCACTGGGATTCTCTAGTGGATCTCGTCCAGCACTTCAACTATTCTGCGGATTTGCCCCTGTTGTATTGCTTCCTGTCGGTGAAAGCCCACAATAAAGGGCAACAGCTTGGGTTATGCGTCCTGTTGCATCTGCACTCACCTCCTGCAGCCGATTTTGGGGTTTTCCTTCCATTTTTAATTTTTATTTTCAACATCGCCTATGCACGAACACCACCAAAAAATTAGATTTATTATTCTTTAAGCCGCGGCTAATGGCGTTCATCGAAATTTACTCGCAAAATCTGATATTTGGTATTTTCTTAGCTTATCTGAATACCGCGTATTTGCCTCTCGCTCACTTCTATGGCTAGCTCGCTGTTTTTGTCGATCTAGACAGAGACGGGAAAAGTCGTTACAACTCGCTTCAGCGGAAAATTGGACCGCAATCGCAAATCGATTCCATATTTCAGTGGCTTATTCAGTATTTTTTTACGAGTTTAAGCGATTTTTGTACTTGGCGCTTCAAAAATGTTTTGACAACGAAACGCATTTGTAGTACAATGACACGTTTATAAGGAAGTTGTTGTTGCTGCAGGACCAAGGAGCCTTCCAACGGCTCGCAACTCAACAATAGATTTCATCTTGAAAATAAATACTTCTATGCTTCTTTTTAAGGAAATTACATCTGTTGCGCAAAACGTTTCATCTTATCTTATTTTAACGATTGTTTATTTAACTAACTAGCGAGTCTAAGAGACACTGTAAACGGTCGTGTGACTTCGGCAGGGGTTTTACGTTTCATTGGGGCACCGCCCTTCAGATCCACTCCTATAGTTCCGCAATTACGCACCAGCACCCAATCATCACGAAGTCGGCGTCGGTAGAGCAGCCATCGACGCCGGCAGATCCGAACGCAACGGCCACAAAGCAGATAAAATATTTTGTGTGGGTTTTAAAATACTTACATTTTGTAAAACATTGATGAGTTTATGATTATGTGAAGTTTCACAAAAATATATATTTTATATTACGATTTACATAATGGGACATGTCAATAAATATCCTGCTTTGATGTGCAGCGGAACATGCAGACTTATTAGGCAACAGAGCAACAACGGATTAGCGAAGCCGTTGTTCTTGTTGCTTGATTTTCATTTTCCCAAATTAAGCAATATAAGTGTTATTTTAATAATCAGGGTATTCCCAAAACTGTTGAATTGCTGAATTGTTGAAAATTAAACAGAAAATTTCAGCAATTAAGGGAACGTCCCTAAAAGTTCCCTGTGGAATTTTAAATTTTAAGATGTCAGCTGTTTGTTAGATTGTCAAATTGCCAGTCTGTGTTTACCAAAGATTATGTTTAAAATTAGGGAAAATGCCGAGAATAAGCCAAAAAACTAAACTATTAGAGCTGCTAACAGGCAGCATCCTATCAGATATCCTTTATTTGCATAATTTATACGATGGCAATTCCTGCAGGCTTACAAGTGACTAGAGTTACCCACTTACTTTTAGTCGAGAACAGCGACAACTTTGGTTTTCAGCAATTTAAATAAATTTTCAACAGCCCCGAGGCTGTTGAATTTCTGAAATTTCTGAAAGTTGACTTTGTATGGAACAGCTGATTAACAGCTGACCAAAAACAACATTTCAGCAATTCAACAGTTAAGGGAATACCCTGAATATATACATAAGATTCCCAGGAAAATCTCTCACAGACCAATAACATGTCAAGCAGTGAAAATAAAAACAAGTAAATGTATATTAACAAATAGCGAAATACAAGGTTCCCTAAAAACTCAGTCGCGGAAAAAAATAGCTGCGATAAATATTAGTTCTTGAAGTGGAAAACAAAAAATGGTGCATTTAAATAAATAAATAAAAAGTATTAGCAATCTGTGTCAGAATCTTAAAATTTTATTGAATGCAAACTTGACAGTGACCAAAAATTGTTCAAATTCCTTCCTTTACTCATGTAAAACTAATATTAAAAAACTTTTTAGCTTCTGTGTAAGAAATAAAACTGCTAACCTGGCTATTTAAATAAAAGTTTCAAATATCTCTAATTTTCAGTACCTAGAAAATTGTCAATGGCCGCGTTCAGCAGAACAACATGATAATTGATCAATAATGGAATTCTTACGATGGTTCGACTGAACGCACATGATTACATGATACAATGCTGCTGGCGTGTATCGATAAGTGAATTATCGATAAGAACTATCATAATAATTATTAAATAACCGTGAAGTAAGTTAAATTCTCTACAATTTTGTAGGCCTATACGATTTATACACGATTGCTGTGCGCAACGCTACAGTTTCGATGGCAACCGATATCGTTGTCACAAAAGCAATTTTAATTAAGAATGTATTTCAATTGCTTAGTCGAGTTTTTCAGATAAAATGAGAGGGAACCAAATAGGCGGCTTACCGCAGTACTCAGATGAGATAAGGAAACACCAAAAAAATACCAGATTTCGTGAGTTAATTCTGATGATCGCCGTTAGACGCCTCGCAAAAACGACATCCGGAGGTGAAAAAGGACGATTAATCCATGATGTCCAGTATTGTGGGACTTGACCCACAGGTAGCAAAACCACAACAGGGAAAATACGCAGAAGAATGGAAGTGCTGGAGGTAGTCCCATTGGGAAGCCCATTAGAAAGGAGCATGCCGAGTGGGACTTTACTACCGACATGAACATCCGGCCGACCGTGTCCTCGCGAAGAAAGTATGTTCTGGCCAAAAGATTTTGGTTGGGTTCTACTAAAAACCACCAGTAATACGATCTCCGACAAGCTCTCCATTGGGGAATCGCTGGACTCCACACCACAAGCTACTTTGCAGCTAATAGCGTCTTCCCACTGAGATCCAAGTACCAACCATTTCGAACGGATGGACTCTATGGAGGACGCGCTGGCTTTTGTATCGGAGGAGGAAAAAAGGCTGATGCTCTGCTGAAAAAAACGTACGCTGCGCAGAAAGCTTAAGAGTCTGCATGCCAAGTCCCAACATTCTAGCTCTTCTACGGACAGACGACTCGGCTAGTGGTCCTGATCAAGAATACATATACTTGCTTCTACCTGTTACCTTCTTTCCGAAGACTCTCTGTGGTAAGGGGTCAAGACGATCGCTCCTTCAATTTACAAAAGTTTTAATATCAAATTTTGTCATCATATAAAGCCATATAATAAAAGCTCTTTCTAAAATGTTCTTCAGCAAAATATTTAAGCTTCTCGCTTTTCTATTGAAGCGTGCCGAATGATCCAATTTTAGAAAGCTAGTTTATTTATTTTTATTTATAGGTTGCAGCGTTTTTTTTTTGGTCCAACGGACTCATTAAGACTCTAAAATATTTCTTATGTTGCTATTCTTGGTTTGTAGAACCAGCAAAATTGTACTGTTTATATTCAATTACACAGGATAGCGAATTCGGTCAAAGGATTCCACCCAATTCCTGTTGGATTTGTTGGAAGAGAACATGGATGGACTTCGGGGTGTTCGGAGGAACACCACCATATACCAAGAAATCGGAGATAAGATGGCGAGCTACGGTCCAAGTGCTTTGGAAAGTAGTGTATGCATATATCAAGAAAACATTAAAAATTATTGTTTTACAGAAACCAACTTTTAAGAGTGGGCCCGTCAGGAGGAACTGCCGCTTCTTGGGAGCATAATATCATCCTCAAAAGCCATCAATTCAAAAGAATTAATGATTTTAATTAACTTGTATTTAGCAAATCTTGAATTCTGCAATTCTTTAAAAGGTGTAAATTTCGTTCGAAAACTGCAGAGGCTTCCAGGAACATGTGCTCAAGGTTTTCGGGAGAAAAATTTATGGGAATATTGCTGTGCTTGCGCACTTTGCGCGTTTTATTTTTGAAATTTGTTGTAGAGTGTAAGGCCGGAGCGGGAGCGCAATAAATCTTTCTTCGCTCTCGCGAATTCGCTCATGAGAAATTAAAGTTGAGTTGTTATATGAGAATAATTGCGCACACTCCCTTTCGTCATCAAATAAGTCCCGGATTTCCCTGCAATCACCAGTTTTCGCGTTTATACTTAATACAAAAGAGTATTACATTTTTATGATGATCTACTTAATAAATATATTTTCTTAATTTTTTTTTACATTCGGCACGCTTTTTTAAAACCGTACAGCTAAACCCAAGCATATGGATAGCAGCGTGCCGAATTTAAAAAAAATTAAGAAAATGTATTTATTAAGTAGATCGTATAATACATTTTCGTCCCATAAGTTGATATCAGAACTTTTGTTTGCTGAAGGGCGATCGTCACTAGATTTTTACCTCGTTGGGTGTTTTTGTTTGATTTCGTAAACATGAAAAGTATATTAACCATCATTGATAATTTTCGAGATACGCCTGGAGGATAGCCCCTGGCCCAGATCAACCTGAGAACAACAAGAGTAATACAATCATACAAAACGTTCATTCATATAGTTAGATTGCAAGAGTACCAAGAAACCATAGCACAGTTTCAACGGACACTTACACAGATATTCGAAGATGCAAAGACGAGGTATCTCGTTAGGTCATTGCAGAGCAAATTACGTATGATTTAAACAAAACTGAAAATAATCCGTGCCAGAAAAAGGAAAACAAGAGGTTTAATTAATGGTCTATGATCAGTAGTTAAATCAATAACGGGGAATTGGGATGCAGATGACGCAGTAAGGTTAGAAGCAGAAATAGGGAAATTGCAGGAGGAGGAGAAGGGCATAAGAGATAATATGATTGCACAGGAAAGAGTAGACAGTTAATGTACCATAATGTTTCAAAACATAACTAAGTATATTAACGAAGAGCAGATCAGAGTAAACACATACATTAACAATTATGGAAGTGGAATAAGTAAGACATTAAGTTAAGAGGACAAAAGAAGAACAGGATTTGATTATGGAATTGACGCAAATAAAGGAGAAGAAATTGGAGTTAAACGCCTTGTATACCAAGTTAGTAGTATGGAAACGCAGATTCTGGGACAATTAGCTAATTAATGGAAATCAAAAGAACCCCAATAAAATAAATCTCACAAGTTAATGATTCTCAGATGTGAATTATTTTCAAACACACATTTTTGTTTCCGCCCCAGAACGTTTAACTGGTAAATTGTCTAAGATTCTCTCGTTTCCACAAATGGGTCATAAGCATGTCATAAAAGGGGTTCAAGCAAGAGCTACCCGAACATGCGCACCTGTCCATTACATGACTGCAATAAAAGGGACACATGCACAAGCCTGAGGGCGCACCCCATTGACAAGCGCAATAAAAGGGGCACATGCACAAGCCTGAAATCGCACGCTCATTCGCAATATCATGGGCCTCACGCCAACGACTTTACGGCTGACTGCTAGCTCTAACACGTCCAGAACGTTTACCTGGTAAATTGTCTAAGATTCTCTTGTTTCCACAAATGGGTCATAAGCATGTCATAAAAGGGGTTCAAGCAAGAGCTACCCGAACATGCGCATCTGTCCATTAAATGACCGCAATAAAAGGGACACATGCACAAGCCTGAGGGCGCACCCCATTGACAAGCGCAATAAAAGGGGCACATGCACAAGCCTGAGATCGCACGCTCATTCGCAATATCATGGGCCTCACGCCAACGACTTTACGGCTGACTGCTAGCTCTAACACGTCCCATAATAGGGGTTGAAATCACGACCACGCAACAAATCGCAAGTAGCCGACATATCTCAGTCAAGGTAATAGTTTCCATTCACCGTACCTGTAATTTTAACTCGATAGAAGTTTGTTTTGTAGCATATTAATACATTTATCCATTTATTTTGGTATAGAAAGTTCTTGGGTTTATAAATTATTGGTCTAAAAAGTTTGATGATGCATATGATCAAGTGGAGTCCAAATGATGAAGTGCACACTGGGCGTATAGAGTCCGAACAGAAATAATTTCTTCTTTTTGCCTCACGTGGTTTAAACTGGGATCAAAACATCAGGTTGCCTTCTTACTCGAGAAGATTGCTATTAATTAATTTGCCTAGTGTAGTAAACCGTAGAACTATGCTTGGTACTATTTTTATGAATAATCTTATTAGAGGCGACATTGGTTCTGTAGATTTGGTAAGCCGCCTAACTTTCAATGTTCATGTAAGACTAATGCGAAACTACTATCCTAACAACTTGCCATGATGTTCATCTAATTTTAGTCAGCATGAGCACTTTCGCGTACTTTCTAATAATTATAACAACCTATATAATTTAATTTGTTCCTCAACTTCTACACCTGTATTAAAAACTAAAATCTTAGCTCATTTGCTTTAGTCCTGTTGATCTATGTTTTTCTTTCTTTATTTGTTCTATGTACCTTTCTCGCGAACCGTATTTGCCCGAAATAAAAATGAGCCCGCGCGTTTGTACTGCTCTTAGTGCATCAACGTTCAACAATATAGGTTTGATACAATTTTGTGAAATTGGTCATTAATGAGAGTCAGAGTCTTAATACTCTTAAGCTCTCATTTTTACCGGGTCCTGATAGAATACCAAGTTGTATACTTAGGAATTGTTCATCTTCTCTTGCTCTTCCCTTAACATTGATATTTAATCTGTCCCTAAGTCAATGTAGATTTCCATCCATATGGAAGGAATCCTTTATTATCCCATTGTTTAAAAAAGGGAACAAGTCCGATATCTCAAACTATCGCGGTATTGCTAAACTCAGTTCTATTCCTAAACTTTTTGAAAAAATTATTACCTGTCAGTTGCAGCATCATTGAAGGTCTATTATTTCACCTTGTCAACATGGCTTCACTAGATGTCGCTCTTCTTCTACAAACCTACTTGAATTTACGTCTTTAATCACTAGAGGTTTTCTGACACATCATCAAACTGATGTGATTTATACCGATTTCTCTAAAGCTTTTGATTCAGTGAACCATAGGATTCTTATTTATAAATTGCCCCTTTTAGGTTTTCCACCCAACCTACTAGAGTGGATACTTTCCTACCTTTCTAATAGAACTCGAATGGACTGTTTTAATAATAAAATTTCCAAAATAACTAATGTTACTTCTGGAGTGCCACAGGGTAGCCACCTGGGACCTTTACTTGTTGGCTTAATGATTAATGATCTACCTTATGTTATAAAATCGTCAACTGTTTTAATGTATGCAGATGATGTCAAGCTATGTTTGTCCATGTGTTTACCTAATTCATATAATGACCTTCAATTAGATCTTGATTGTTTGTATACGTGGTGCATGATTAACATGTTGAATTTGAACTATTCTAAATGTAACTTTATGACCTTTTATCGTTGTAGTCCATCTCTGTATTCTTATTGTATCGGTAATAACGCCCTTGAACGTATTTTTTCTGTTCAGGATCTTGGCGTTCTATTTGATCATAAACTTAGTTTTAAAGACCATATATCTACTATAACTAACAAAGCCAGAAGTCTCCTGGCGTTTATGAAGCGCTGGTCAAGGGAGTTTGATGATCCATACACAACAAAGCTTTTGTATGTTTCTCTTGTTCGTCCCTCAATGGAATATTGCTCGTGTATATGGTCACCTCAAATTAGCTGTTACCAAAATATGTTAGAGTGCGTTCAAAAACAATTCCTTTTATTTGCTTTGAGAGGTTTAAGCGGGGACACAGGAAGTCGATTGCCCTCTTATCATGCGAGGTTGCGCCTGCTGGACTTACCAACCCTGAACCATCGTAGAAAGTGTCATAGAGTTATGTTTTTGCATAAATTAATTAATGGTGATGTTGACTCTCCCTTCCATCTTAGTTCCCTCAACTGGAATGTACCCTGTAGAACAGCTCGTCGTTTTCGTCCGTTGTCCCTGCCAATTTGTAGATCCAATTATGCCCTTCATGATACTGACCATAGTGCATCAACGTCCAAGAATAAATTATGAAATGAAAATTGGATTTCGTTGTGGACATATTTGTTTAAGTTGTAAAAATAAAAGGTTGTGAGAAAAAAATAAAAAGAAAGAAATAAAAACAGAGCAAAAGAGAAACTAAAGGTATAGTCTTTTATACACGAGGTCGTGTTAGAGTCAGTATGGCCGTGTCGGCGATTGGTACATCTCAGTGTATAAGGAGTTTTTGTTTCTTGGAATGCTTGTGTCGAATTGTGCTCGAATTATTTCATCATCTTATGTTTTGCATCTTTGCAAAATCATTGTTTCTCTCGAACTCGCCTCGCAAGGTGCCGTTAGAACAGATGCCTGTGCTGCGCTACAAAAAGTGTGGCACGACGCACAGCTGCGTTGCCGGCTTCGTAGAATTTGTCTTGTCCCTTTTGAGAGGAACCGATCTGTAGATCGACGCCTGTGTGCAGACCGAAACGCACTCCGCTCTAATGGAACGAGAACATAATTCGACATATACTTTATGGGGTCGAAACGCTTCCTTCTGCCTGTTACATACTTTCTCACGAATCTAGTAAACCCTTTTACTCTACGAGTAACGGGTATAATAACGAACGAATAGGTTATATTAAATGTATAGCCTTTATTCGGCAGACGGACTGTGTAAAAGCTTGGCTCCAAGATCTTCATATAGATATATGTAGGCTTACAAAGTAGTAGCTAAATAGTTAAGCTACAGCTTTAGGTATAAGAATATATATATATATAAGCTTTAGGTAGAAGAAAGAAGACGACAAAAGATAAGCAAAGAGCGCTGCAGGTGCCGTCGAACACCTATGAGCGCATGCTCCCCCTGTTGGAAAAGGATAGGTTCCAACTATCTCGGAATCGATGGGCAGAACGGCAAGTTTGGCGACGGCTCTCTTGATCAGACCCGTAGCTGTACGGACCATAGCTACTCTGATGACTTCGTCCCCGCCGGGTATGACTTCCTGAATGCACCCAAACTGCCAACCAAGGGTGGAACGTTGTCCTCCTTCAGCAAAGCTATGCTTCCAACCTTGATGTTGGACGTTTCGACGCGCCACTTGCTCCT